GGCCTGCACAGGTGACTTGGAGAAACAGTTATTGAACTGGCGGGTGACTCACTTTTTGTTGCAATTCTATCCTTGACATGCATGTTCCATCCAAGTGACTACATGGAGATCTTAGCGAGACCTGAAGAAGATGACCTACTGTCAACGCCTCTTTGCTGCATATTACACGAGTGATAATGTGGAATCTAAAGTTTTTTGGCTGGACTGGCTCTTGTAAATCTTAGGACAGGTTTCGTCTCAGCTATCCGATCTGTTTTGAAGATGAAGCCTGGATCACTAGCAACCATAGGGTTGCCCTGCAGCAGCTTCGTGTTCTTAAACAGCGGGACTTCCAAACGGACACCCGCCGCACCACTGGGACGAGAAGAGCTGGGATATATCCGGCGAGCAAACTCGACCCTCAGCCTAATTAACTTATAAATGAGTTTGAAGTCTCTCTCTCTCTGTCTCTCCTCGCTCTCTGTCTCTCTCACTCTCTCTCTCTCTCTCTCTGATCTCTGTCTCTAGTCTCCCTCAGTCTCTCTCTCNNTCTAGATCTATGTATCTTCAAAGACCCCCTATCTCATAATCGTAGTAACTTGGCGCTTGCATGTGAGCACAATTTGTGAACCAAGGATCGCAGCGCGGGTTTGCCTGCTAATATTGCTCTTGACAGCTCGAAAATGCTATTGGCTGGTGGAGCAGCCATCTTCGTCGATGTTTGAGGAGATCCCCTACTTCCAACACGTTATGATGATCATACGCAAATTCATGAAGGTACATCGAACCTTCTTGTGCCTGGGCTGGACATGGTGATTGCAAGCATCACTCGATCGCATGTGAGAGTCTGTGCCCACCTGCTCTTGTCATCTAAGTTGGATGGGATGTTGGGGTCACTTCAGCAGCAAGGGCTCCCTTGCCTATGGCACCCTGCGTGGAACCCAGCTTGCTGGATAGATGCAAGCCATGATCTCCAGTTGCATGTGGTATTATTATTACTAATTATGAATTAAACCAATCTGCGCAGTCGGTGATCAGAGCAGCTGAGGGGCTTCATTCCCAAGCTGGCCAAGCGGCTGACGAAAAAGAGGAAGATCCGCTATGGACTTTCTTCAGAAGGAGTCGTGAAGAAAGGCATTGACAAGCGAGGCCGCAAAGTGGTGAGCCTCGGATGGCATGCATCTTTGATCGGATCATTCCACACTAGATTGGTGAATGCTCAGGAGTGGTGGCAACCTGCTACGGCTCACACAAGAATATCCTCGCAAGTTCTGTGCCAGGGTTGTGAAGCTCCATTTGATGTACTTGGAGCCTTGTCGTGAATGGTTCTAAGTAGGAGCTCTATATATCATGGTTTATAATAATTAAACCCCAAACCGATATCCCTAGCCCTGTAAAATTCTAATAACCTCGATCACAGATCAGGGATGACACACATGTACAGGTGATCGAACCAATATTTATTTGCCTCGAAACTACATGTACACAGTCGTGACTTCGAACGCTATTCCTAGCCTGGTATGAATTGATGTTACGTATACACAATTGCAATGGCACTGCCCCCACTCATTGTACATAGTGGATAAATAGTAATATTAATTATAACATATATACAGAATTAGAATAATTATTGGGTGAGTATATATGTACAATGCGTGGGGGCAGGACCCATCAACTGATTGTGACATCCTTGAACCCCTATAAATAAACACGAAACCTGTAAAATCCCCAAGCCCCACAACCCATTAAGGAGAAACATGGCCACCGCATGGACTCCTGGCTGAAGAAAGGGCGCCAAGTGCTCAGCGAGAGCAAGGTGGGATACGGAATAAAACAGGAACAGCCATCTGTAATCCCCAAACTTTGCCCTTGTAAACCCAGCTAGGGATGATAAT